TGCATGGGGGAAGAAGGTACAAATGCACACTCTCAGGTGACCTCAACATATAAGTGCCGCCAAACCTTGGATCTCAACTAAGGTGCACAATTTGACTAATTCGTGCTTTAAATACAGCGTCTCTCTGAACATGCAGCCATGAATATATTTCTAATTCTAACAGTCATAAATATGCTTGACTAGATATACCATTTCATATTTTCTTGTTTTTACACAATCGTGCGTTAAAAAAGTTAGCCTGATATCCTTCCCCCGGCCCATGCATATTCTTTCCATCATAGAGAAGTCAGATAGCTTCTCTGTTTGCCAAAGTTTTTATCTCTTACATCTCGAAACCTCCGAATATCAAACACCATATGCAGAACGAGATAAGTACTGCAAGCGATAGCAATATTAAAGGGTTTCAAAGCTGTCTGTAAAAATGACTTATCGTAAAGTCTTTACCGAGAGCTCCACTCTGTGTCGTCTTGTTCTTTCTCGCTCTGAATCACTTTTGAAAGACATAACTTGAGCTGGGGGGCAAAGCGGATGCCTTCTAACTGTGACTCCTCCTATTTTTTATTCTATTCTATTTTGCTTTACTCCTTTAGGTAATTTATCTGAAAACCTTCGCCGTTCTCTCAACCAATCGACATCGAAATTGAAACCAATCGCGACTTGGTCCCTTGAAGTTTCCCTCGCCTGACACAGTTTGCTAGTTATTTCTACGGAATGTCATTAGCTCCTAGTGATATTTTCCTTTCCTCTGATTGGCTCTTCAATCAATTTGGATTTGGTAGTCGCGAAGTGCATTAGCAAGCTCGACCTCTTCTTGTCAGCGAAATTAACGATGTTATCCATGTATTATCCAAAACACAGAATTTAAGTTTATTTTTTTTTCATTATTCTTCTCAAACAACTTTACAAAGACGAACACATTGTAAAATTCACAAATTCCTAACGTATGGGAATACTGTTTACACCAAATCACCTGACATAAGATAAAAGGGCATTAAAAACAAAATAACCCTTTTCATTACTCAAAATGAGAGTAAACAGAGTTTCGCATCCTTTTGTCAAAGTATAAAACCACTGGTGTCTTTATGTTTGAGTTAATTAACTCCTAACCCCAATTCGCACTTAAAGACCTAAGTCAAATTAAACCGACCAAGATTAACAGCTGGCCGTTGTCCACGTTGTTGTTCTCCAGTAAGTAGGCCGCCCTTAGAAGAAATCGAGTCCAAAAACAATTGGAAAGAAAAAGCTCTGGCCATGAGTCTAGAGATTTAATAATTCGGTGTTCAGTAACGCATCCTT